CTCCCCGACAGTCTTCAAAACAAACCCTCCCCCTGCAGACCCCATTCCCGAGCCTCTGGGTTTCCTAGTCCTGCGGTTTGGGAAGCACACCTGACCCAATTTACTGCTGTTCGAATATATTCTGAGCATCCATGGTATCTTTTACTTAGGTCGAGATTAGAAATATGCTTAAAATTACAGGCAAGAAATAAAAAATATTTATGTAGTAAGCAGTTTCGGTTATTTGCACACAGATGGGCCACCTTGCAGGTGCTCCCACCCACGCTTTATGCTGGGAAGCACAGCGTCGGCTCCCAGAGGACAAACTGGGGTTAAAGCTACATAAAGTTGCACCACAATGGTACTGGATTTATCACAAAAGCCGTAGAGAAATGGTTTTTTAATCACTGACTGTTTTAAGTTTCAGCAGTCCATTCTTCACGTCCGTAACGTGGCTTTGATTCTTTCAAGGTTTCCCTCGCAGTTAGATTATAGCCATTCACCTGCCCAAAGGAAACAGACCTGCGGTCAGATTTCAGGCCTGGACTGAGGCCTGAGGTGGGTCGTGGCTGGCAGAATGTGCCTACGTAGGGCGGACGCACCACGTGAAGCCGTTTTTTCTTACATGACAAGGTGGTGGGGGTGGGAGCAGAGAAGAGAAACATTTCACAGCATTTACTGTAAGCAGGCAGGTGTCCTCCACGTGCCTGTGCTCAGAGTCCTAAGCACGTGATTGTGCTCGTCAGCAGCTTCTCCACGTAAAGTGCTAACAGTGTTTTATTGTTGTTTTTTGTTTTTTTAATAAAGGGCAATCAGATTCTCAGCGGCCTCTCCATTGAAGAATACAAGACCACGCTGAAAATAATCAAGCAAGCGATTCTGGCTACAGACCTTGCCGTGTACATTAAGTAAGTTTCAAGAAATACCGTGAGATAAGTAGGTGTTGGAAGTGTTCGCATTGTTTCACTCTTTTAAAACCCACCTTAGGAAATGTTTAGATTGTAAGGCAAGTGTTCTAGCCAAGCTGTTCATCAGACTATGGAGCAGTTTGCTGTAGGAAGCCGGAAAAGCCTGTGGCTCACTCACTCAGTGCTCAGAGTTACAGAATGCTGAATTGTTTCTGACATTTGTCCACTGCTGTCTCCGAAGCTTTCTGTGTTCGAGGCAGTAACCATCTCGGGTCATTGCACGTGGGCTGTCCAGCCCGAGGACTATAGGGCCTCTGCTTCTCCTCCTTCCTTCCCCTCCCCTCCCCCAGCTCTGGCCATTTCACGGTCCCTTATGCTGCCACAGAGCCCAGGTGGGCAGGACCAGGAGCCGAAAGGCAGGCCAGGACATCTTGCTGCTTTTTCTTTGATTGTGGCAGAAGGAGAGTATATTAATGCACAACTCCGCAGCTACCAGCTCAGGCGTCAGAGTGCCCTGGAGCGGATCTCATGACGTGAGCGTGCCTCAGGTAGGCCAGCCGTGGCTCCCACACAGAGACAGCTGTTTCTCCGCAGCGTGCGTGGCCGTCACCCTCACAGGTTCCCGGGAACATGGCCTCCCTTCCACAGGGGCTCATGTCCGTGCCTTTGGTCACTCACTCTTCAAGAAGTAAAAATGAGTAGAGCAGACACATAGCACGAGGCAGACACGCACCGCTGCTCCCGAAGATAGCTGCGCCTTTGGGTTACGGAGCACTTTGCAGTCCACTAGGCTAACAGAAAATTGAGTAAACTTCGGTCGATTCAAAAAGATTGCCGAATAAAGATTATCCAAACACCAAGAATTGGGAAAAATGCCTGTAACCACAGAGCCTTCCCCACCCTTCCAGGCCACGTGGGTCTCTCCTCTGGTGCGCAGTCACATACAGTCGGTTTTGTCGTATAAACAGTTTTCCTGTCTGTCTGGTGTCTGCGACAAGAACCCATGCCTCATGGCTTCCCAGGACGCTGGCAGGTCCGAGCGCGTGGAGCTGCTCACGGGGACTGTTAGCCTGGTTCTCCCAGGTGTCCTTCGACACCTTTATGCTGACAGAGTAATTGTGATGAACGTTTTTAAACCAGACAGTGTGATACGCGAGTTAAATGAGTAATTAAACCGTATAGATTTTATTATGCCGTACATTTAACATTTCTCAACTCGTTCTTGACATCACATTTTTAACTTCATGTTCATTTTCTTAAAATCGTGTTCAAGAATTGAAATTCCCATTATGTGGTCTGTACTAGGTGAAGTTTGATGTTTCACCCAAAAAAATGGTAGAGGAGGGGAGGGTGAGGTGTCGGAGATTTTTAAATGATTTTTATGTTGGGTTGTAAGATGGGCGAAAACCATTTGAGATGTTTTTCCCCAAAAATTGACTCCATGATTCTTTGTAGACTGAAGAGACAAGACCCTGGGATTCCTCCTAACTACCAAATATTCTTCTTTATCTTCAAGGAGGCGAGGAGAATTTTTCGAACTTATAAGAAAAAACCAATTCCGTTTAGAAGACCCTCACCAGAAGGAGCTGTTTTTGTAAGTCGGTTTGCTGTCCTCAAAGCTGACGTTCTGCTTCCCGACTAAGTTTATCGCTGTAAGATTTCACTGCAGTCACGTCTTACGATATGATCGTAGAGGCTGTCAGAATTCTCCAGTGTTGGACCAGGGGCTGAATGTGAATAACGGAAAAGCAATGCATTTGCAGGTTTGAGTGCATCAATCGTCCCTTTGTTCTAGAAGGAACTTTAAAATGTGTAGAGCATCAGCCCATGGTCCAGGGTCCCCTTGTTCATCGTCCCAATTCTTCAGAACAAAAGAGCTGAAAATTGCCCTCCGAAGACTGGGAGCGAGGAGGTGGCTGTGAAGTGTTTGCTCCTGTCCCACAGTGGCCGCGGGCCGGGCACCTCTCTGTGTTGTTCTTCCGCACCCGCGACCCTGCCATCTCCTCCCTGTCACGTGGCTCCCTCTGCCGAGGCGGGGGCTGTGTCAGTGAGGAAGACCAGTCAGTATAAAGACACAGCGATACTGTGGACGGCGCTGTTAAATTTCGAAGTCAGCGTTTCTTTAAATAGGTGGTTGTTGCTTGGCACACAAAGATGCAGATGGTCAGGAAACAACACACAGCCGCCCAGCTGTCTGTTCTATAGAGTCACGCGCCACTTACCAGTCTCGACATGTTTTTCTGAAGTGTCTTAGAAAAGCACAGACGCACGGCTGTGATTAGCGAACAGCTTTTCTCTGTGACAGAGAAGCCATCCAGCTGTCCCCAGCGTGTGCCCTGTGGCCGCGGGGCAGTCCGCGGTGGCCCGGCGTGGCTCGCTTTGCTTTGGGCTCACAGTCTTCGCCGGGGGCGTCAGCAGGTGCTAGTGACGTCCTCAGCAGCGGTCAGAATGTCTCCACTGCCCTCACCTCTCACAAGCGAGGCGGTGTGACAGCAGGGACAGCGGCCGAGAACCTTCGTCTCTGTGGCCTCGTGTTGCTGGGGGGAATGCACATTTAGGTTGGGTGTCCCTAGAGGGTCAAGTGGCACAGTCCTTTACCGCGAGTGTGTCTGTGCCACGGCAGTGGCCTTTTTGCCTATTTCTTCAACCAGATTAAAAGGATTAACTGGCAGGTGTTTTGGTCAGACGCGGGAGGGAGCACGGTTTCCACGCGGCCGTCGCAGACTCGAGTCCAGCGCGGTCTCCCTGCTGGCACGAGAGGGGCCGTGCGCGCTGCCCCTCGTCACCCTCTTTCTCCGGCGGACACTAATGTCTCAGGCGGTGCTTGTGGAAGTCACCACACGCATGAGCAAGTCACAGCGTGCCCGGTGCCACTCAATCCCAGTCATTCACTGGGTCACCAGTCACCCTCTGGTGTCACGGTATCGGTCACGCGTCTATGGAAATTGTTCCTGTCTCTGTAGTCTTTGTCAACTGCCATCCCATAGTTCAGAGGGTTTAGATTTAGCTTTTTTACTAGTAGCTACTTACTGAGGTTGCATATTTGCATAAGAGTAAAGAGGACTACTGGGCTCTCCTCTCCCCCGACAGGGCGATGCTGATGACCGCGTGCGACCTCTCTGCAATCACGAAGCCTTGGCCCATTCAGCAGCGGGTATGTCGCTCGGTGACAGTAATAGTAACTAAAGAGTCAAAGTAAGAATGTTCTTTGCCCTTAAAGAATTTAGCTTCTGAAGTATTTGTGGAACTTTTTATTTAATTTTTAAGTAGTATTTAAAGAACATAATAGGATATAAGCAGGTTTTCTTCAGAAGATTCGTTGGCACTTAATAGTTTTTGTAAGATACATTAAAAAAGAGAACGTCTGTGTTAACATAGCAAACCCCTGGCTGTGAGTAAGTTTTCATTCACTTAGAGATGTTTTCAGCACATCCTTTAATGATGGAAGAGGAAAGAGTTTGTATTTTTTTTTTTTATCCTTTCTTCTGAACCAGACCCTGAAGCAGTCAGCGCCACCACCTGAGCAGTGGGGTGGGGGCCCAGACACGGAAAGCGATACTGTAAAGCTTCTGTAGTTAAAACAGTTTAGAGTGGGTGACAGACCAGTGGGACACAACAGAACACTGAGACTCGCATGGGACATTTAACATATAATAAAGAAGGCATTTAAAATAACTGGGGTAAGATAAGACTCTTTACTAAATAATGTCAGAACGATTGCCCAATCTTTATAGCCAGAAGGCCAAAGAAAAACTTGGATCTACTCTGCATACTTAAATTCCGAGTGGAGCATAGAGTTCAGTGTAGAGACTTAAACCATGCCAGTGCTAAATAAAAACACTTGTGGATTCTTCTGTAACCCAGGCATGAAAGACTTTCCTAACTATGGCTCAACAGGCAAAAACAATAAAGGAAAAGATTGATAGATCTGAATCCATAAAAAATAATAAAATAAAACTCTTGCATGGCAAAAGACGCTATAAGCGAAGTAAAAGACAGTGAGAAACTGGTAAAAATATTTGCAACTTCTGATAGTTAATATCCCTAATATTAAAGAACTTCTAAAAAAAGAAGAAGAAAAAGGCTAACAACCCTCCAGGAAAAGGGGCCAAAGATGGGGACAAAAAGTTAATAGAAAAAGAAATGCGAATAGCTCTTCCTCGAGGTTCTCAGAACCTCAGTCATAAGAAAAATTGCAATTCCAATTACACTGACACACACACAAAACTTGTACAGAATCTCTTAACAGCCTTATTCCAAAGAGTCAGAAACGAGAGACCACCAGGCATCTGTCAGGAGAGAATGGGCAAACACGCTGCAGTATCCAGGCCGGACAGTGGGGTCCGGCTCGCCAATAAAATGGAACTGACCACCGCTACTCCTGGGTCAGTCTCAACACGGCTGCGCAAAAGCCGCAGACACGGGAGGACACACACCGCGATTTCATTCATGTGACACTCTAGAACAGGCAGAACTCACCTGTGGTGAGAGAACATGATGGATGGAGGGAGGGAGGCAGGAAAGAAGGGGCAGGGGCTGGCTGGGGGTTTACAGCCACATCAGGAGGGAGGACGGTGTGTCTTGGATGGAGTGTGTGTCACATGGTTATACCCATCTGTCAGCACACTGAACTGTATACTTACGATCTATGTAATTCATAGTATGTAAATTCTATTTCAAAAAAAAACAAGCACTGATATGCAGTTTCTCAGTTCTCTGGCAGAAAAATCCAAAGGTTTTGCAACATACTCCGTCGGAGAAGCCGTGGGAAAACAAAGAAGGCCAAACACTGTAGCCCTTTGGAGATACATAAATACACACACTCACCATTACACTTCTAGGAATCTCATCCCATAGATACACTGGCAGGGGTATAAAAAGATGCTTACACACGGCTCTTCCTTACAGTCTGTCTGTGGTAGGCAAGGCTGGACGTAAGCCACATATTCAGCAGCAGGGTACTGAATGAGTGAGCTGAAATGCATTCACACAGTGAGTTCCATGTGACTAAAAAGAAGTAAGGATTATCTGTATACCACTATGGAGTGACTGCAAGGCTGTATTTTTAAGTGGGAAAAAAAACCCAGAAGGGTTAACCATAAAAAAGGGCTAGCCTTAATAATTTCTTTAGAGGGGAGGAGGGAATAGGGTCGAGGGAACAGGACAGGAGTGAGAAGCTGGAGTGTACCTGCGGTGTAGACTTAACTTTGGAACCACGTGAATAGTTTTTATAATGGTAGCACAAAATCGAATTTTAAATGTCATAAAACCTTGAAAGTAAAATGAAACAAACTTGATTTTGGTTGTAAGTCCACACTGAGGAGGACTGTTTCATTCCGAGTGGAATTAAAACAATATGCATCTCTAGTAGGATATACCTTAAAAACAAAAAGAATTACCCCCAAAAAGCCCCTGCCACTGTTTTTAGTAACCTTTAGTGGCGGTGTCGTGTGGATATTTAATCACCATCGTAGGCGATGTGGGGAAAAGCAAGTAGGCAACTGTATTGGTGTTGCTGGGAATTAGGATTGTGGGGGTTGAGAGGAAAGCTAATGACCTGAGTGGGTAAGTCCCGCAGAAACCCTGCAGTCCCGATGCGGAGTACGAGTACTCTGTGACCCTACGCTGTGTCCAGCTCCGTCCCCCAGGAGGGCTTAAAGATGATGGCCAGCCTGTTAACGAACAAACCCAGTGCCCACGTCTCACTCTGAAGGGTGGAGGGCCCGAGGATGGCCGCCCGGGGCTCTGCAGCGGGCCCTGTGCGGTGTGAGCCTAGACACCCAGTAGCAGGACGCAAAGCGGAGAGGCCCGCTGAGGAAGCTCCCACTGGCCAAAATGGAGCAATTCGGGCATCGGCAGAGATTCAAGTGTATTCAATATGTTCAAATTCAAGAGTTCTAAGTAATAATAATAAAACAACACCTTCTCTGGTCATCTTTGGTGGATGCTTTGGTAGCGAACCAGGTTATTTTTTAAATGGTAATTAAAACCAATTATGTCATTTTTTTTAAAAATATAGATTGTACTTTGAGGTAACTAAATAATTGCTGTGGAAAACTTTACTGTATGTCAATGAATATCACCTTTTCATAGCCCCTAAATAACTAGATCTAGACAAGGATCATTAATGGTTGCTAACATCACGACAAAAGGCAGTCAGGCATTACATAGCCTCGCTAGAACACAGCACTGCCTATGAAGTCGTCACGGCAAAAAAAATAAATAAATAAATTAAATTCAAATCTCAACCTAATCAAGCCCCAGATTTCACTACCAGTGCATGGAAATACAGGGCACAGAGAGGCCCTAAGTGGTCCTGAGGAATGCAGTCAGCAAAATCGGTGGGAAACTTCCGGATAAATAACAACAAAAATTACAAGGAAGTTTTTTAAAAAGAGAAGAGGATCCTGTAGATTAAAAAAAAATATTTAAAGGCATATCTCAACCGCAGAAGACGCACCTATATGATACTGCGTTCTTCAGGCACCTAATGTAACAGGCGCTCACTGAACACTTCATCCTGCATCCAGACAGATACACGCTACTTCTTTCCCGCTAAGTGCTGAACTTGAAACAACATGTTGCTTTTTTCTGAGTAGTTACAGATTACAGACTCTAGCCTTTGTGATTAGGCACATATTTAATGCAAATGAAATATAATTTCTATTCCTCATTATGACTTTATTCTAATTTTACTGATGTGGTTGAAAGCTACAGATTTTATAGATTGTCGATTGTCTTATCTTCATTCTGAGTGTCCTTTACAGAGTGATATGCTTTTAATTGCTAAACTTCATCCATTATTTACTTCAGATAGCAGAGCTTGTAGCGAGTGAATTTTTTGACCAAGGAGACAAAGAGAGAAAAGAACTCAACATAGAGCCTACTGTAAGTATGACACCTTGTCGGTAGGAATTATTCAAATACTTTCATTGTAAACTTTTTATGCTTCGAGATTTTCCTTAAGAACACAATTTATCTTCGTTTTACCTTTTAAATGACGCAGTGCTTGCGACATTCACGATAACCAGCAGCACTGAGGTCAGCGTGTGCGCTGCCCAGCGTGCGCATGCCGGTTGTCATTCCCTATTTAGGATCAGTCCTCAGAATCTCTGTGTTGAAGGCCCGCGGATTTTAAAGGTTTCAATGTACTACCCATGGATCTCAAACACAAGAGAAAGATTCTTCTTAAATCCTTTCTATCTTTTGGAATGAGTTTTTCCTGAAAATGAAGCATAGTCATTTTTTTCGATTCGGGTCAACATGTGCTGAGCCCGTCCGTGTTAAATGACGTGGTTAGGGGAGACCCCTCCTCTGTCCAGCCCCCTGCCCCGCCTTCGTCCTCAGCTGGGCATAGCCAGCGTCTGCTGGTCTTTCTGTTTCCCGGCCTTCTGTGACGGAACGGCAGGCTTCTTCAGAAGCTGAGAGTCTGTGTCATGTGGGTGGCAGGGTGACACAGCCAAAGGAGAGTTTTCTTCATTTAAATGAGCACTGACAGACCCATTGCGTCACGGAGGTCCCGTCCACGTCACTGCTTGCCAATAGCAGTGACAGCTGCCCAGTCCTCGCTCGAAAAGCTGTGTGTGAGCTGAGCTGTAGTTAGCTGCGGCCTCCTGCCCTCCCACAAAGCCGAGGGTGTTCGATCCCCATCAGCAGACCACTGAGCGCCCATGTGTTCTCCAGATATACGGCGCTGCTTGATTTTACATCAGCAAGGAGCTTCAGGTCGTTGACTGACTCTGGGTCAGCAGTCGGTTTTGGGGCTGGTGTGGGGAGCATCACAGCTGGACGAATAAGGCGGAGGATCAGGGCCTCCCTGAGCCTGGTGCTGGCGGGAATGTAGGAGGCTCGCGGAGGGAAGGATAGGGAGGTGCGGGTCGGGCCGTGCTCACCTGGCCCAGTCACGCGTCGTTTTTAGAGCAAACACGCATTGTGCTCGTTCAGTCAGTGCAGCTCCGTGCGTCTGTTTCTGTGTTTTCAGGATCTCATGAACAGGGAGAAGAAGAACAAAATCCCAAGTATGCAAGTCGGCTTCATAGACGCCATCTGCTTGCAACTGTATGAGGTATTTATACGAAAGCTACGACCCTTGCTAAACTGAGACACTTATGAATTAAAACGTGAAGGAGACCGAGGTGACTCGCACTAGGCTTACATGTCGTTCCTTTCACTGATGAACACGTGGCTGGCATTGAATGAGGAACATTTCATCTTCACTATTTCTCAAAACCTTGAATTCATCCGTGTATAGCTGTGGAGTGTCTACTGTGCGCTAGGCTCTAGCAGTCGGAGGGCCCACTGTGCGCTCAGCGCTAGCAGTTTCTTTTTGAGTGTAAGTTTTTGGCCTAAGTAGAGAAAAGTCATTATGCAACTCTATCCCGTTGTATAGTGTAGCTTTACTATTAGCAAATGTTTTATGAGAATTGAAAGCCGGCTGGAAGAGTATTGCCAGTCCCTGTCCCCATACACCTGCTGGCCTGGGATTCTTATTTTTTTAGGTAAAGATAGTCTCCCTAAACCATCAGTTTACAGGTTTAGATGCTTATGACCCGAGCACAGAGGGTAGATGCTGCCCGGTGTTTAAAAGTTTAAACAGGAAACTCCTAAGTTTCACCCGGGGAAAGAGCACTTTCCAGGAGCGATCACAGAATGTCGAGGCCAGAAGAGACCCGGGGCTTTGTAACGCGGACACCTCACGTATTCAGTAACGGAGTCGGCGTGGGGGCCCCCCTTCCTTGCGCGGGGACCCACCCCAGCCGAGCAGGCGCGCCTGGAGGCCGTTCCTGTCCAAGTCCAGCGTTCCAGCCACCAGAAGCAGCGGACGAAGCTGGGGCTAGGAGGCGAGAAGGAAGAGGGCAGGACGGAGGGCCGGCAGCACGGAGCGGCGGTGCCCTGCTCTGGCCCGTCTTCGGCGTTCTGCGTTCTGCCGTTGGCTCCTTTGTGGAGGTGGCTCAGAGCAGTTCCCAGCATCCCTGGACTTCTGTGGTTCCCAGCAGATGCGTTCCTCATCGACGGGGCGAGTGCCTCAGCTGAAGACAGCAGGGTCTCTCTTGATCCCCCCCAGCCTGGAGATCCAGTCGGAGTAACAGACCACCCCGGCAGATCACCCCTGCATTTGCTGCGTGTGCAAGGGTCACCTCGTGGACTCTGCCTTTCAGTTCTGTGTATACTGATGTGTTTCTCCTGCTGTTCATTGCGGAAGTGACAGGGTTCTCGTTATGAGAAAAGAAAGATGAAACCCCTTATGATTCCACCACTGAGATAACCGCTGTTAACGTGTCAGTGTACGTGCTCTGTGACGTTTTCATATTTTTTTCCCATCACAAAATGGCTTGTTGCAATTCATAAGACATCGTAATGCACATCTATGGTCAGTGTGTTTCTATAATGTTAAAGACTGCAAACAGTAATACAAATTACATAACCCTGCTGTTGGGTACTTAAATCATTGTTTCTCGATTATAAAGGAATCTGCAATGAACATTCTTTTATCAAAATATTCATAGCACTGTAGTTGGCACAGCAGTGACCTCTGCATAACCTTGGGATTGTAAATACTAATTCCACACAGCATTATGAGCTAGTCACTATTAGAATCTTGGATGAAAATCGAGGTAAGTCCTCTGTATGAAACCATTTTGTGGAAGACCACGGGGCAGCCCACGCACAGGTGCACTCCGGGAGAACCGGCAGAGCTGGGGAAGCGGCGAGACAGCTCACGGTCTGTCTCCAGGGACAGGGACATCGGTTTGGAACGTGTTTGCTCTGGTCCGCGTAGCTAAAGAGGAACGCTCACCGGTGATCCCAGCGTGCGGAAGCCCCGCCCGGGCCTGCACCGAGTGTGGGAGGTGGCCCTTCGGTGTGGGCCTGGGGACAGGCATCTTCCCGGCTGCCACCTAGTGTCCGCTCTCTTCCTTCCTGCAGGCCCTGACGCGCGTGTCGGAGGACTGCTTCCCTCTGCTGGACGGCTGCAGGAAGAACAGGCAGAAGTGGCAGGCCCTGGCCGAGCAGCAGGAGCAGGCGCTGGTCAACGGGGAGAGCGGCCAGGCCAAGAGGAGCTGATGGCCCGCCGAGCGGCGCAGCGCGTGCTGCGTGTGCCCGTCCGCCACACGGGACACGGGACACGGGACAGGTCTGGCGTGGACTTGCCACTGCTGTACCTTTACTTCTGCACAGCTTTTGGGAGCACAGCATGAATTGTCTTGAGGGGACCATTCCACATTCGTGTATTGGGTTTATGCCGCTGAGCTGAGCTGAGCTGGTCGGTGCTGCCCCTCAGCCGTGGCCGTGGCCGGGGGAGCTGGGCACTGGAGCTGGCGGCTGCATTCTTGCACTCAGGTTGGTTTTTCTGCTTGGGGATTTTAAATAATTGGTTTTGTGGTTTTGGAATGACCAATCTTTCCAGAATGTTTGGAATCTTTTCCTTCTCAAAAATAGGCGAGGAGCAAATTGAATATATGATGTGACATTTAAAACCTTCACAGGAAGAGGAAACTTGTGGGCTGAGTGGATTTTAAGGGGGAAGTGGGAGTATCTGTCAGCAATGTGTTAGCTTAACAAAAATACTTAAAACTCTGAAACAAATGGAAAGTACCATGAGGCGGTATTGTACAGGAAAGGTATCCTTTAACTGATTGCACTGATTTTATTGAGGGATGAGTTTGACCCCGAAGTGAGATGCCTGTCAGTTCTGTTGGGAGGCACTCTGGAGAGGCAGTGAGTGTTTTAAATGTTGGTTTCTTTTTTTATATATCTTCCCCATCGTTCATATTACAAGCCCTAGTTTATAAGTGAACAGTTAAACTCTCAGCAGGATAGCAAGAAAAAAGTACTGATTGCAGCACTGACCTGAAATATGACCATAGATCAGAGGATACAAAATGAATGTTTTTTTCTTGTCAAATGAAGTATAGAGGAAAGTTTTAATTAATAAACAGCAGAGGCCGCCCTTCCTGTTGGGGTCAAAACCGCAGGAGGGGAAGAATCCTTAGGCCTGAGGACTTGGCAGTGCCGAGCCTGTGGCCGAGCACCTGCCCTACTCCAGCTTACAGGGCTGGTCAGCTAGAAGCCTGGATGTTTGGGTACGGACTCTAACCGTGGCCCTGAGCTTGGAGACGGTGGTGTTTACTTCTGGTAGCTTTCAGTACGTTTAGAAAATGAACGTTTTCTTAGAATTTGAGCCCACTTAAGCAGTGTGCCGCTCTGTCCGGTACTGGAGGAGGAGGTCAGTGAGCCAGGCGGCTGGCTGGGGAGGCCATCTCCAGGTCGGCGGGGATGTTTGGGCTTGAGGAAGACAGGTGTTGTTTGGTAACCCCCTTCCAAAAAGTCCGAGTTTCTGCCTCCAGTTGGGATAGAAATCTCTTGGGGATATGGTATGCAGCATGAGCAAAGACTTTTCACTAAAACTTTGTTTTCCATCTGCATCATTTTTCTCTAAACTGCCTAAAATTCAACGTGTTCATTAAGTTTTTAAAATTGAGTGGGTATATTTATCTTGACATAATGTGGCTCTATTCTTACCAGTCAAGTAAAAAAAGGGGCGGGGTGGGGACCAAACAAATTGTATGGCCATGACTTTGTAGTGGTAAAGGAGGGTCTGGACGCTATCGACTTGAATGCTGTATGGATTACTGTCATGATCCTTGTATTTTCAGGGTGTTATTCTATTTTTATCTTACGTCACACAGATGAGATCTATAAGGTACCTCTTGGTGGCACTGGTGTGTAAATTGCAGACTGTCACTGAAATAATGTATCTACATACTGGTATAGGCCTGTGCATGCATACATATTTCCTTAGCATAGAAAATTGTTTCAAGAGTAACTGTCTTTATCTTTTTATCGTACACATTGTGATGTAGCAGTTATGCTAAAATCTGTAGTCACATACTTCAATAGTTTGTTTAGACCCCTCTGATGGATGTCACTGAGATTTTTAAAGACATTAGACTATGTATGCAGGATTTTTATGTGTGCCACTTTAACAATCAAAAAGGTAGATTAGAAATTGGTTTACCTTTAGATAATGGTTGATTTTACTTTACTAGTTCAGAAATTAAAAGAAGTTGGGCAATGCTATGCCTGTTTATCATTGAATGTCTTAGTCCATACAGAAGAACAGTTCTTCTTTAGAACTGGTTAGTTGGTTCAAATAATTTTAATTTTTAGAAAAGTCATTCCATACATTAATATCTGGTACATGGGCACAAGTCAAAGTTTTCATCCTCGTGTGAATATTTCTTTTCCAGTATCTTAAGTCGGAAAAATATATATATAGTCCTCCCCTACCTCACCCTATATTTATATTACTCATAACTAGCAAGAAGTTGTTCTCATTCTAAAGTATCTTGTTTTTGTTATAGCTGAGTAACATTACACAATTTCATTTCAATTTTCAGCCCAAAAAGGCCCCACAGTTTTATTAAGTTGTTGAAAAGATATCTGTGAAAATGCTCAGCCTTGTATTTTCAGAAGACTGGCCTTTGCCAGTCACAACCTGTGTGAACTTGTGTAGGCCACTTAGCACCTGTGTGCCTGAACAAGCAGTGTCGTTAAAGGGGTAAGTTTGGGCGAAGCCTGTCTTCACGGAGAACGTCACAGAAGGCAGCTGCGACGTCAGCCCTGACGGGCCCTGGGAACACTGTCAGAATGGGACGTGGGGCTACAGAGCATGGTGATCTAATCCCACATGCCATTTCCAAGACTGAAAACGCAAAACAGCGCACTCACCCGGCCTCTCACGCAGACGGCTAGCGAGTGAGACTTGGGGCTCTGTGGGCCGCCTGTCCCACGGGGCGGAGCCCGGGGGTGGTGTCATCACCACCGAGCTCTTAATTACAAAGAACGGTTTCCTTCAACAGCAGTATGGAGAGAAAGTGCATGAGAATGTACTGGAAATATTGGATTCTGGGAGGAAACTGGTCACAGACACATTCTTGCCTCGCAGTGAAGTGCCTTTATTTTCAGCATAGAGCACAGACGTCTGGTTTTCCATTTTTCTGTGTTTTTCATCAGACTGCACCCCTAAAATCCTACACGCCATCACGAGCACGGCTGCCTGTTCTGTGTGTACGAAGCTAACTTAGTGCGAGGGGTGTGACCGCCACGAGGTCCTTGTGCGGCCGCAGCCACAGCGAGGCGGCCGAACCAGCGCTCACGACCGGGACGTGCGTCGACCCACTCTGCTGAGTCCCTGCCGCGTGCCAGGCCCTGGGCTCAGCCGTGGGGACAGTGTGGCAACCGCGAGGCGCTCACAGCCCCTGCGGGCCGTGCTGGGGGAGAGGCCTACGCGCTCCTGCCGGTTACCGCGGACACACGGGGCACACTGCCACGTCTGTTTCCATCTGCAACATGTGTTTCGGTCCTCGGAGGGCCGTCGTGACCTGGAACTTGGAAGAACGTCTCAGTGGCCGCCTTGTGTTCTCGCAAGTATGACTCACTGAGACCTGAGAGCTTAAGGCTCTCTGGCATAAGGGACGTCTGACGTGAGGGGGTACACATTCCACTACCTGTGGTATCGTTCCACTCAGCGCTCCTAGACTGTCGCCATGCAGCTGTGGACCCTCCCCCTGCTCCATCACGGGAGCGAGGAAGGAAGGATGAAGGCTCGCTGCGCCTGTCCGTGCACTTCTCAAAAGCCTGTGTAAACACGTCTGAATGAATGTTGCTGAAAATGATGTAAATAGTCGAAAATAGAAATTTCTATTACAGTTTAAGAAAAGGAAACCTACGAATCATCACTAGCCACTGTTAATACCTATTTGTATTCTTATACCTTTTCAATATATTTGAACAAATATATAGTTTCTGGCACTATTTTTGTACTAGGATAAAGGAGTTACTATGTATATTATGTTTAGCTTTTACGTCGTTTTAAATAATTGTGAACGTTGCTTCCTTGTCTCTCCTGTCCCCCACCCTGAGAAGCATTTCAGAGACAAAATCGCTTTAAAGGAACGCTCACCTGCACGGTCCCTACGAAGCCGAGCGGCGTCGGGAAGGTGGTCCGTGGCGCAAACGTTTCGACGCCGTGGTTTCCTCCTTTTGCCATGCTTTGTGAAAATAAAAACAATGAGTGAGTAGATGTGAGTATGGTGTGATTATTAGGGGCTTGGAACTTTAAAGGGGTTATTAAAGGGTTTGGATTTTAGGGGAGGTTAGGGGATTTGAATTTTAAGGGGGGGTTATTAGGGGTTTGGATTTTAAGGGGGCTTATTAGGGAGTTTGGATTTTAAGGGGGAGGTTAGAGGGCCTGGATTTTAAGGGGGGTTATTAGGGGATTAAGCAGGGGGAACAGGCCAACAGCTGGCGAGCCGAATCGAGCTGACCTGTGGTCCTAGCTGACAACGACGAGGTTAATGACCCTCCCTCGGCCTAGCCTCCTCCAGCAACAGTGTTCTCTGTCAACACCCTTCGCGACCCGCTCAAGGGCAGCCTTTCCACACACCTCACTGCAAGATCCCAACCACTATGGAGGGCGGTTCTGACTGGCCCTGTGTCGCATGAGAGCTGATCTTAGGGGTCAAATTCTGGCCAAATGGCAGCAACCAGAGCTGAGTATCTAGTTTCAAAGCTGGTGTTTATTCCACTTAGCTCTCTTTTTAAATTTTAATTGTAAAAGTTCCCAAATCCACTCTCGGTGGATCAGACGGGCGTGTTCTGGCTTCACAGCTAAAGCCCTTGAGCTCCGCTGTGACGGCCAGCACTGCGCCCTCACAGAGCCCCGGGCCCCCTGTGCCTCGGTGCGCATCTAGGGGCGTGCAGCTCTAAGGCGATGCACAGGCTCTCGTCCATGGTGTGCTTCTGCCACCAGACGAGCCCTCCTCTTGTGAACCTCCAGGCTGTGCCTGACTCACAAAGCTAAAGGCAAACATGCACGGAAGCTCTCGTAAAACTGTATTCTAGGTTTTCTGACCACTAGAGGGCACCACAGGTTCACTTGTGTTTAAAGAAATCCTCCCTTACTGGGTACGAGGAATAAAAAATGTCTTTTTAAAAGAATTTTCGTAGCTGAAGAAAAATCAATGGAAAAATCACTGGAGAATTAAGACTTACTGCCCTTTGTCCAGGGATCACGTCTTCGTGATGTTCTCCGAACGATGATCACCTGACGTCTCTGAGCTCGTGCCTCCTGTGGAAGGGAGAAGCCCGGCAGGGAGGAGCCTCTGGCAGCTCTTCGGGCAGCTTTTTTGAGCCCACGTTCTTGCTATTGCTGTGCCACCCTCTCCTCAAACGGGTTCCTATGTGTGATATGTGAAAACGTCAGGATACAATTTTCTATTTTTAAGGCACATAGTAGTAAATAACAAACACTTTGAACTTGCAGAGAATATTCTGATTTTAAGCTACATTCAGCCTTGAAAGGAAAAAACACCTATGTTTCCAATTCTCAAGCCAGTTTGTTCAAAACAGAAATCCATGAGTTATAAATGGAATCGAAATAATCATCACACACTTCTTTGGAAATAAAGGCAGGACTGTCCTACCATTCATTATTATTCTTTTTCTTGAAACCTCTGCTTCTCTTTTCCTATTCTGGCCCTGGCCCCGGGCCTTCGTATTTGATTCCCCTCTGCCCTAGAACATAGCCCTAGGGCTGCGGGACACAGCCCTCCTGGGCTGTCAGCATCTCTGCATGTGTTCTTGTAGTTGACGGTACTCAGCAAACAATGAGGAAAAGAACAGACTCTCATCCTTCCCCACTTGACATAAAATGGAATTTTTTATAAAGAGAGGAGAAGGTAATCCCAGTGAAAAGCAACAGAAAAATCAATACATTTTTAGAAATTCTCAGACAAGAGCTGAAATTTAAGGTGAAATAAAATGATTTTTTAGAAAAAATGTTTTTCTACCATGAAAAGTCAGTGACTAGAATTTCATTAATAAATTAATAATCATTGGTAGAGTTACTCTGAGTGGGAGTTTTACCATGTTGCTAGAAGCCAAGGAATATTCATAAAGGCCAGAGGCCGAAGATCATGTGGAGAAAACAAGATTTACATTTAAAAATAAGCAAACAAGTCAACAGAAGACGTTCACTCATTCACAAATATAGCTGATTTTCTAGTGTCGGGCTGGAGTGGCTACATAGGCAGGCCCCACAGAGCTGCTAGTCCAGCAGAGGCCACACCAGGGCAAAGAGAGCCAGGCCTGTGCCCTGAGGCAGGGGACTGGATGGTACTTAATTCAAACCCAAGGGTCACAGAGGGCTTCCTTTGGGGTGTGGCATCTGGTTTAACGGAAGGACCAGGGAGCAGGGCATTCCCAGCAGGAGCAACTGCATGTGAGGACAGTGAGCAGCACGCTGTAGAGACTGGAAAGCTTCCCTAAATGCTTGCTTAAATACTTCTAAGTGTTACACTATGAACGGTAAGGATTAAAAACACTTATAAAGGGTAAGTATTTAAAATAGCTGTGTACAAGTGGTGTAAAATAAAGCAAATATCCTTCAAGTGTATATTTGAATCCTTGGGAAAGAGAATCCTACAGGCCAAAATCCAGCTAATTAAAAACCCGAGCAGGAAGCACACGAGCTGCGGCTGGATCGGGCCTGCGAAAACCTGCAGGGCTCGGCGAGCAGGGGCTTCACTGCCGGCCAAGCAGGAGGCGTGGTCTTGAGACCCGGGACGCAACTGCGGGTTGGCCCTCCACGCAGGGCTGCAGCCTCCCAAGGGCCACGTCCTCGAGGAGCAAGGACAAGGGGAACCCGCTCAGACACAGCATGCCCATCTCAATCGGGCTCTCCCTAAAAAAAATCACGACGTTGGGCCCACCCTCCTGGTCACACACATGTGAGGTGTGAATGTGGTCTGGGACTACCCGCACCAGACCGGAAGCGGAAAAGGAAGTCCCAGGCCAGTCACGGCCCTGGACACCTGGGATCAGCAAAGGCCCACGTCCTTGGAAGAAGAACTTCACTTCAAACAGGCCCGGGACATGACACGGTTGTGTCACTAAAGACAGTCACAATTCAGAGCTGCAGACCACACGAGGAAGTCCCAGGACAGGCGTCGGAAGCCACAGGCTGAGCCAGATCCTCAGGGAGTGAGACAGCACAGCTCTCGGGCAGGGCCGCTGGAGGAGTCACTGGTTCCTCACTCTTGTGTTTGCAAGGAACACCCCGAAAGTGACATTCTGGGCCTCTCGGTCCACCTCTAACTCAGCCCAGTCACATACCTGACTGGAGGTGACAGCCAACTGTCCACAGTCTGTAAGTAGGTGAAGTTACCTAAGGAAAAGTGGAACGCTGGGGATTTGTTTCTTGACCTTTCTAAGCGGTGCGAGCTGCAACCGCAGGTCAGCGTGTCTGGGTACGTGGGCCTGTCCCAAGTCCAGCCGCTGAAGGGGTGGGGCTGAGGCGGGGGTGTCAGCACACCACGTGACCAGAGCACGCGCTCCAAACACCTATTTACCTCCCCGTCTCTGGGGAACAGGGGAGTCAGAGCGGGGGGTTGCAGGCTGAGTCTCAGCAGGAGGGGACCTGTGT